TCTGGTCCCAGTGGTGGCGGTTCTTGGGCTGGTTTTCTGTGTAGTAGTGAGGGCTATTCCCTTGCCACTATCACTTATTACCTGCCTGACAGCATCATTGACCATGTTTCTTAGGCTGTTGGCAGATTTTTCAGAATATACAATATAATATTTGATAATAATGTAAAATTATTACTTCAAGTCAATTATACCATTTCTCTCCTTGCTATGCTTTCTAGGTGTGCTTGTAGGTTAACTCTCTCACCTTTGTTAATTTTAATGTTTTTATAATGCGTTTTGCTAGTGATTTAGCCATGATAAGAACAGTGCCAGTGCGGGAGCCATTTTGTTATTTTCAAATTTCATTCAATCTGGCCGCCATATTGTGCCCTGGGCACCTCCTTTTATACTGTGATCGACGGAAGCGATTTCATGACGTTGCGTGAATGGTTTTATAGTGCACCTTCTTGTTTAAGTCTGATCATGTGACCAAATAAATGTTATTCATATACTCATCAGCAGTGGGCTCATTCTCCACAGTAAAAAGGTCAAACAAAGTCTTCAATCAGGATTATCATTGGAAAAAATCCAAAACATCAGTAACAGGCATCTTCCAGATGAATGAAAGTTTGACAAACATAGCATGATAAAGCAGGTTAGCAGGATGATCCAGCAAAAGGTCACAAGCAAATTTTGGACTGTAATAAATTATAGTACATGGTTCAGTTAAGCTGTGTGATAGTACCTTAATAGTAAAATTAACTTAATCAAGTTTAACATTTACATGTAATAGCCAAGATAACACTGCTACTAAACAATGAAGCTGCATTGCAGAGAATACCATAGGACTTAATATCCATGGACAAGAATTTCTATGCTGAGTTTTTTAATTTCGATAACAGAGATTGTTGAAAGTGGGATTATGTACATTGCCTTACATGTGGCAAGATTTCTGAAGTGTTATAGCAACTGATACATCAAAATATTATATATGTAGAAGTTACAGAATACATTGTATACAAACTCACTTTATTTAATTCCAGCAAAGAATAGAGCAATCCAATAGAAGAAGAAATGCTATATTAAAAAGAGAAAAGGAGATAATTACTAGCAAAAATGTTTTCAAGATAACAAATCAGAAACTAAGAGTTTATTTGAAGACTATCACTGCATAACAGCATGCTCATGTTTGGCAATAAAAATAAACTCACATCATCTGATTTTGTCTTTTATCAAGATCAGCACTATAGTAAAGCTAGCACTAATCTTATAACCATGCATGTGACTATACAGTCTATTAATCACATTACCATCTACTCCTCCATTTTCCCAAGACAGCACATTCTAATAGAAGAATAAGACACATACTGTTACATTGTATATTACAGTGAAGAATGCATGACACAGGCATATCAGAGTTTTATAAAACAAAAAACATAAAATGATATGGCATTATAAATAACAGAACAGTGTAAGCATAATTCTGATAGCTGCAATCATATGTTGAAAAATCATTTCTGAATATATATAGGTATTCATGCATAGGTCTACTTGCAATTCATTCTTGTATGGTGCAAACATACACAATGTAGCTCTTCAATGCTGGTATTGTACAAGACTTACATATAAAAGTGAGTTTATGCCACACATAAGAAGAACCAATATTCACACATGTATGATTAAATGACAAATATATTCTAGTCTATAGCATTTCCATTCTGAAGCCCAATAAACACACACAAAAACACATACACTTAATCACTGGCACAAAATATTGATACCAAGTGATAAACAGTCTCAAGCTATTAAGAGTACTTACCTCCACAATCTACTATTGTATTTTAAGGAGTTAGCTGAGAAAGAGCTAAAGTTCAGGCCAAGGTTCAGGGCACAGTAAAAGCTGAAGACATTTTAACTAACCAGTGACCACATGGCCACACCTGTTGTATTACAACCTGATGAACCTGTTCAACCTCACAGCTGTACAGCATCATGGGCTGCAATCATTC